CTGTTTTCATTTAGGAAAGCTTGTAAGGAATTGAAATATGTTGTATTAAGCTAGTTACCCTGCATCACCCTCTTCTGTCTGGCAACCATACCCACTTTTAGTGATTTTCTTCCCATGACAATGGACAGGTTCCACATGCCATGTTGTCACTGAACTGATGCTGTTTTGCCACAGGTCTGTGAACTTGACGTGACTTACCTGTTTTTATTGCTGAAAAAATACTGAAACAATACATATACAGGTGTGCTCATGACGTCATGCTTTGTATTTGCCTGTTGGTACTGTAAACTCTTAGGTAACTGCCCTCAAGAAAATTTCCAGTAGGCTTCACTGTTAAATCACTTCTCTCCTCCAGAGTCAGTCTGGATATGATGTCAGTTCAAGCAAATACTGGCCCATCATGGGAAGATAAGAATACCACAGCTTTCTGGAGAGGACGTGACAGCCGCAAAGAGAGGCTTGAACTTGTAAAACTCAGCAGAAAATACCCAGAGATCATAGATGCTGCTTTCACAAACTTCTTTTTTTTTAAACACGATGAAAGCCTCTATGGCCCCATTGTTAAGCACATTTCATTTTTTGATTTTTTTAAGGTAAGCCACTAACCATTTTCCATAAAACTAGGTTCTCATTATCAAGTAACTTTGTATATATTACTATTAATAAAGAGATTTTTAGTTTTTCAGCACACTACCAGTAACAAGCATGAATACGCATCCCCTCCAGTGGGATTAACTGCTCAGTCGCTCTTACACTGAGGCTAATAGTGTTTGATTTACATATAAAGGTTCTATAGAACCTGTGTAATCTATATAACTCCAAGTTCCTTTTTATTTCTTTTTCCTGATTTAGCGATCAGGACTACTAACATAACTAACATAGTGGGAAAATCAGTGGATGAAGTGGCATATCTACCCTCACATCCGAGAATGAGCGTCTAAGAATTTCCGGAGAACTTAATGGATGAAGAGGGCATCTCTGTGTACCCTGCACTGTGATGAATTCCAAACTAAATAATAAAAAGCTACTTAAACATTGATGCTTGCCTAGCCAATCCTACATTTCTCAATATCAGCAAGTCAGTAATACCAGTGCCCTCAGAATAATACAACCTAACCCAAGTCACTTGGATCTGCTGTTTGCTAATAACTTATGGTCATTTTCTTTCCAGTATAAATATCAAATTAATATAGATGGCACAGTGGCAGCATACAGATTGCCTTATCTGCTAGCAGGAAACAGTGTGGTGCTGAAGCAAGATTCCATCTACTATGAGCATTTTTATAATGAGCTGGAGCCATGGAAACATTATATTCCATTTAAAAGTGACCTGAGTGATCTACTAGAAAAACTACAGTGGGCAAAAGAACATGATGAAGAGGTAAATATACATTTAGAAGTACTCGGCCATATTTCTAGAAAAAAACAGAGAGAGGAAAAAGGGCATTTTTTGAAAACAGGAAAAAAAGAATCTGTTAAAAGGACTTAAAAATTATTGTCATCAGCTCCACAAATAAGAAAAACACTTTGAAAAAAATACATAATACTGCCCTTAATTTGAAATGAAACTTCAGAAAAAATAAGAGTATTTTCATAAGAATGCCTTAGTTTTAAAGTTAAGAATACTTAAATAAATAGAAATAAATTATCCTAAACTGTCAACACTATACTTAACTCCAGAATCAATACTGGCATCCTGAAATAACTACTATTTTTTGAGAACTTAAAAAAAAAACCTTTATTTTCTTTGACAGGCAAAAAATATTGCAAAATCTGGACAAGAATTTGCAAGAAACAATCTCATGGGAGACCACATTTTTTGTTACTATTTCAAACTTTTCCAGGTTAGTATATTTTTAATGGCTACTGCCAGAAAAACAGAAATCCTGCCGAAAAAATTCAGGGCAACTGAGCTGCTGGAAATCGACCAGTCCAGTACTTGAAGCCACAAAGCGAGCAGCAGCAATTAAGAACTTCAGCTGGTTTACAAATACTGTACACACTTATTTCCTATTAAACCCCTTAAGCCTATGCTGGCGCTTTGAGCAAAGCACTCAGAACCCATAAACCTTGATCTAATCTGCAAGAATACGTTGCCCAGAATGATCAAAGAACTCCACATCAAGCACACACCCTGGGAACCACGGCCGGCTGAGAATATCTGTGCATTAGCACTGAGATCTCGAAGCTCCAGGGAGGCACCCGCAGGGGCTCCTGGCTGCAGCTCAGGGTCTGCTTACCCTGTGTGTGTGACACGTATGGAGTAACAGATTGTGTAGCCCCAGAGTTTTCACAAAATTACTCAACGGAGTTGGTGCAGTATTTACGACCAGATGTACAGTCTAACAAGTTTATGAATTAACGAGACCTTCCTTTTTTAAAACTAGGAATATGCCAACTTGCAAGTGACTGAGCCAAAAATCAGAGATGGGATGGAGAAAGTGCAGCAGCCTAACGATGACCTTTTTCCCTGTACATGCCACAGAAAAAAGGTACAGTCCATACAGCGTTAAATGTAAAGTGCTGTGTGTCTTGAGGTCTTATTCAACTAAATTGAAACAGGTGTTGCAGAATACCCCAGGGTATCAGTTGCCAGACCAGACCAAAAATGCCTATCGAACTTAGAAGCACCTCTTAATGTACTTGCAGGACTAAGCAGTTAAAAATTGAGTTTCCAATTAACTGAAAAATGTTTCTTCTTTCTTGACTGCAGGCCAAAGATGAACTCTGACAGAAAGAAATAAAATAATTTTTTGAATATTTACCTACATTCAGACTGTCATCTTAAGAAGAAAATTTTGGATTAAAATGCCAGTGGATATGAAGTTTACTGTATCATGATCTACATATGGAAGAAAACCAAGCACCCCCTCTTCCCTTTTTATCATGTCTTGTTCAAAAACGGTTTTATAATTTTTTTTTTAATAAAAACCATCTTTCTATCAGTCATGTGTTACTGTCCAGAGATACCTTGGAAATGCAGGTACTTTTTACTCATGCTTGTTCTGCTGAGTCTATTTACAAGCATATTCTGCAAAAAAAGGGTAGATGAGAATTGTAAATCTACTCCCCCACCCACGTATCTAGCCAAAGTAATCTTTTTCAGACCCTAACTTTGTTCCTTCTGAGATAATCATCATTCTCAAAGACAGTGATATGGGGTTTATATTGTATCTTTTGAACCTGAAGGAGAAACACAGTGCTGCTGGACACCTCAGAAATAATAGATAAAAGTTTTAAGTTCCATACGATTTTTCACAGATGCTTTGTCTGTGAAGCTCAGTCTCTTTGGCAATAATGAAAAGAATTCAGTAGCACTGAGCAGTGACTACTGAAACGGAACTGGTCGTTGTTTCAACAGTCCAGTCTATTTTTAAAATACCTGCTTCTCCACTGATACTAAGTAATTCAGCTGTTACTTTTGAGCGTATCAACATCATCTGAAAATGATCCATAGATGGATTTGAAGTCAAGTCTAAATTCATCAAATTCTGAAGTTAATACATGTTTCCAATCCAAAGTGAGGATTTATTTTCTCTGTAACACAGACGACCAATTTAAAATCCACATAGCTGTTTTCTTTGAAAACATTCAGACACGTGTTATGCTTACTGAGCAATATTACTGCTGGGAGACCAGCATTCTTGAGACATCTTGTGAGAAACAACAGAAAAATATTGTATCTCAGTAACATTTTTAATTGCCTATTTTTACTGCAGTAAAAGCAAGCCTAAGGAATAGTTTGGTCATGCAGTAAACAATATATGTTCTAATTTAACTATACTAACCTACAGTCTTGAATAGATTTTTTTATTTCTATACAATACAGCACCAAAATTAAGCTTAATCTGATCTAAGCACCTGACGAAAACACCACAGAAATCCTGTCAGCTCACCAGGGCTGACTGAGCGTGCGTTGAAGCACCTCTGCACCGCCACTTACAACAGCTCCTCCAGCAAACCAAACCAAACCAAAGCTCCTCCAGGCCAAAGCCACCTGCTCACATCCAGCAAGCTGCAAGCCATAAAGGTGCACAACGACCAGAGGAGGTTTTGGGGAACCTTTGGCAGCAGAGATGAGACCACCAGCTGAGGAGACACCACCAAGACGCTTTCCTCAGGACCAAGCAGCCATTTCATCTCGGGGGCCATCGTTCCCATGACTTGGCTGAAAGTAATTAATATATTGCTCTAACCTTTGGTTACACCTGCAGGCTGCTCACAGCCCATAATGGGGAAGCCTGCAGCCACAAGCACACACAAAGTATTTCATCCACTTTGCAAGTTCAGGGCTCAGCTGAAGACCCAAGGGCCTCCTGCTGATGGGTAACGAGGCCCAGACCCCCACCTGCCTCTTCTGAGCCCTCCCAACAGAAGCCTCGTGCAACAGCTCATACCTGCCTCCTCCTCCAGGACTTCCAATTTATAATTTGTCTTTTCCCAGTTTCTATTTAAGTCTTCCACACCCATCTCTCCAGAGCGCCCCTGAGACCAGTCCTTCACACAAGGGAAGTTGCTGGGGGGCGACTTTTCAAACCTGTGACCCGTGTTCTTCGCTCCTCGCACACAACCGTGCCTGCATTACCTCCTCCTCTTCTTCCTCCCCACGCAGGCCAAGAATCTGGCGCCTTGGGGTACTGACACTGTAAATGACAAGAGTTTCCTCTCCCTGTGTCACGGGTTTTGAAGCGCACTGGAGTGCCAAGGAACGGCACCGAGGCAGAGCAGTACCACCCCACCCAGCCAGCCTCAGGGGCGCTGCTCACAGAACTCTACACCTCAGCAGGTTTTAATTTCAAACACATACAGCATCAGTAATATACTCAGAAATGAAGGGCACCTAAAGATTTGCTGTCAAAATAGATTTTTTTCCATTATATTACTCCAAATATGAGTCAAAAACATTTACTTAGTGCTCTGCATTACTAAGTGTTGTATATAGTTATTTGCATAGAAAACAATGCTGCCACCATAGTAAGTATTCTGTAAATTCTCTGTCCTTCCTTTAAAAAGTTCTTTATTGTTTTGCATATTTTTTTTTTATTCATACAAAAAAGAAGTGTTATTTGCACTTCCACTTAGACCTCTGAAAATACACGTTTTAAAAAATATGCCTTTTGGAAATAACAAACTCTGATTTGCCACATTTAGGAAAAGCTAAATGAAGACACTGCTTAAACACAGCAAATCATTTGTGCTCCAGTTCAATATTCTCTCTAAGCCAAGAAAAAACTTGAGCATTTATTTCTTCCATGACATCGTCTGCTGTTCGTCCTTTGACTGCCATCCCATGGTTTGCTTTATCAATCCAATGGATTTTTTTAGGGGCTTTCATTCTGCTTGCCACACCTTCTAGCAATTGCTGAGGAGAAAACAGGAATGAAAAAGTTAGACCATCAGCTGCTACAAACTGTGCGACTCTTCGATGCGTCTCGCTTTGCCCGTGCAACACATAATTGGCAGCTCTTAAAAACAAAACGGATCCGCATGCACATTAGGAACACCTTGCTACAGAAGATGTGATGATACCCTGTTCAGTAATGGCATTTGCTCAAAGGCTCGCCCTCGCTCAAACACAGCATCGCAGAAAAGGAGAACTTCAAAACCTGCGAAGGTCACAACCCTGCGCAGGCTCCTTCCCCCCGCTGACAGAGGAATCCCCTTTTACCGCCAGAGGGTAGTACCAGCAGTAAAGTGACACAAGGGCTTAGGTCAGATCTGTCTACAGCAGCACAGTAGCAATGTAATTCCCTCGGGACTGGCTTCCACTCCTTTCAACTTTCTCAGCAAACAGATCGAAGAACCAGCTCAGTAAGCCTTAACAATTTCCCCATTAAGAGGGCGCTCCGAGGATCTGCTGGTTGCTAGCCCGACTTATTTTGGTGACAACTCCTCCCAAAAGCATTACGACTCCTTAAGAACTGTCCAAGCATGGAAAATGCCAATTGCGCACGGTCCCAAATTCAAGCTAAACAATTAAAGAACAGACACCTAACTTTGCAAGAAAGCAAGGCAGAAACCCACTATATTCTCATCTCTGCACACATCTGTCACCTCTACAAAAATATCGCTTTATACCACACAAGTCTGACTTATGGGTAGAACTGCTGTGCTAAAAGAATTTGTCATGAAACCCTACTGAATGTGAAATAGGTAGTACAGCAGTGTTTGGTTTTGGGACCTGAAATGGTTAAAACAGAATAGCAAATAACTCACTCCTTCCATAGGCCGCTTTTAATTTGTTCAATCCTATCCAAAAAGGAAAAGCATTTAAATCAGCAGCATTTTAGTGGCCCAAAAATGAGTTTGCTAAAGTGGATCATCAAGCATGATCCAGAAGTTATAAGCAGCAAAAGAAAGCATCCCCAGCCTTCCTTACGTCCAGTGAAGTTTCCTACCCAAGGCTTCCCTCTGAAGGGAGACAGATATATAGAGAGATATAGATATAGATACAAATATATCTATCTATCTAGAGAAAGCTGTTAATCAACGTCACAGCTGTGTATACCACTACAGACATCACGCAGACTCATTCCTATTCCTCCCTATTACCCCTGCATAGCAAGATTTACAAGGGTACTCACTTTTTCACACATCTCATCTGCTGATCCCGAGACAAACAGCACTGGACACCTGATGAATAACAAATCTTCATCCCGGAGCTTGGACTGGAGTTTCGGTCGATGCAATGGGTAAGACAAACATACTAGACCTTGAACGAAGTCATTGTCGTCGTCATCCTGGCTAAGCTGACGTATCAGAGAGGCAGCAGCTCGTGAGCCCATGGAACGGCCTTTCTCCCATGTTAAAATCAAGAAAAAAAGTATATCTGCTGTCACCTCACCTACATTCTGTTTGAGTAAACCACTCCTAAAAACAATTCAACTGTGTTTCAGCGTGCCAGTAGTACAAGATGCTAGGGATGCTTTCATTCATCTACTCCATGAAAAATATTAACCCTAATTTCAACATTCTGTGCTAAAATATTTGTCTGGTTATATTACGATTTCCCACCCTTTCCACCACATTTAAAAAAGAAGGGAAAACAAACGAACAAACAAACAAAAAAAAACCCACAAAAACAAACAAAACAAACAAACAAACAAACAAACAACATAAATGGAGAGGGATCTTTTGCAATTCTGGAAGGAACAGCCCATCCTGATGGCAGGGGGAAGAGGTCCTGTGCTCCAGACCCTTGAAATTCCAGAGAGCAATGCTATTAACTTGTATCATTTTTATCATGCAACCTTAATCTTATCAGATTAAAAACAAAGTTCCGTGATCCTCCCACCCAAAACAAATCCAGCAACTGTTTATGCACACCTCAAACTTCAGCCTAAAAAACTGGGAGGGGGGGGTGAGGGGGAGGGGGGAAGATGTGTGAACTTGTAGAATGAAGTCCATCAGTAACATCAAGGGGTTTTCAAAATACCTCCTCAAAGAAGATGCAGTAAGCTGACAATGGTCTGTAATTAAGTGTTAGAAGGGGCTGATTCCAGTGGGTTTAATCTGCATCAGCACATACTTGGTTTCACTCAGTGAGAGAACATTCAGCACTTCCCGTATTAAGTTATTCCTAGTCACACCCATCTACTTCCCTTTTACACATAACTGATTTTCTGTCTGCCGCTGGGTTTTATCTACCAAAATCTGCTCTGGGAAAATGGGTTTTCCATTCACCAGTAACCAGAATTTTTCAAAACCTGCCGTTAAAAAGTACAAATGGACTATCAGAGAACTCATGCCCTGCCACTTACAAGTGACAAGCAAATTTTCTGCCAAAGTACCTGGAAAACATACTCTATTGCTCTTTCCTTCCTCCCTCTGTGGCATCACGGAGGGTGAACAGGTCTAGACGGCCACGCTCCCCAGAGAATCCGACGAAGGCACCAGGCTGGATGTCCCCACTGGCACCCGAGCCACCCGTGGGTGAGCTGAGCTGACCTGCACCCCCGCCTGGGGCTGCCACCAGCTACAGGGCTGGTAGCACCCAGCCACCCAAACACAGATCTGGCACCAAGGCTCCCACCCCAGTCAGTGGACTGCTAATCAACTACCGAAGGTTGCAGAGCATTCAGCTATCCGGCGGTAGCTGAATTGCTCTCCCGAGGAAATACTGACTAGGGGGAGTTTATTCAGCTTGTTCCCATGTGAGACAGCAAGGTTTCAGTGCCCACCCTGCACAGAAACCTGCCATCCACACCTGTTCACTCACTCCTTCCCAAAGCGGGACAGACTTACAGAAATTGAGTAATGACAGACTGCTATCATTAGAGGCAGTATAAAGAGAAAATTATAGGTAACAAAAACAGTACCTGCAAGGAAGACACCCGAAAGTTTATAATCATCAGAAAGCTTTAAGTATTCCTAAAGAAGTAAGATAAAGAGAAGCATTACAAGTCAAAACTAAGACAGCTGAGAGGCTGGGGATATTTTGGTTGGTAGCTAATAAATACAAAACAGGAAACTCTTTTAGCACTGCAGATTAAACAAAGAACAGGTACGTACAATTTGCTCTCACTTTTTCACAAGAACGCTTTTGTAACATTTTGCAGCAACAACATAATAAACATAAGCAATTTTACATTAGTTCTCAGCAAGTCTAAAATTTCAGATGCACTATCAAGTTACCAAAACATAAACGGTTACTCTGTATCAACTCACTTATAGTAACAGACCACATCCATGCTCTTAGCCTACCAAAAGGCAAAATAAGTTAGCAAAGATACCCTTCACTGAGGCTGAGGTCATGTATTTCCAATGAAAATTTTAAGACACAATCAGTCATGTCTGACAGAAAAGATAAAATTCAGCAACAATTTTTTCAGTTTTTTGGAGATAACTTAGATGTTATCTTGGCAGAGGCCTTTATATTAATATACTGTTGTGTAAAGGTAATTTAAACTCACTAACAACATTATGCTTCTTCAAAAAAGAATGGAGAACAGATGCACATTAAAGCTAACAAATTCTAACTTTAAATTAATGTACATATAATCACAATGACATCATGCACACTAATTCCTTAAGAACTGGACATGGTTTCCTGATAAAAATGTCTGATGCTCAATGCAAAGTGCTTAAGCTACCTTCCCATGCCCCAGTAATAGCTACGTAATCGGGAGAAAATTTCCACTCTTCCCTATGCACTCCAGAACAGGAAGATACTATAAACTGACACTATTGTAACAAAAGGTTGCTCATATTAACAAAATCTATATATAGAACATCTTAAGTAATGTTGCAGCAGCAGAAAGAGATAAGCACATGTATATAAAGTTTAAACTGATTTTGAAATCAAAAACTATGCAGGTACTAGGGCTCTCATACACTCTACTCCCAATCTCTTTTGCTTCAACTCCTCCTGCGACCCAAAGTCTCCTACTCCTTCCCCAAAGTCTCGTTGTTCTCTCAGCCACCAACCCTCAGAGACCCAGTACAATAATCAGGTCAGCTTTTTTTCTTCTCAAAACCACTCCCAAAGCTGTATCCCTTAATCCTCTTCTCCTCACCAAGCCCTCCCAGAACACCCAACCCTTGTTTCCATCCTACTCTCATTTTTTTCCCAGCTGTGAGCTTTCCCACAAAACACCCTTGCCTTTTTCACATCTTTTTCTCACACTTTTCCTTCTCTCCCTGAACTCAAACCCACAAACTTGCTGCAGCTGTTCCAGCTACTGTCATATAAAAATTGTTCCTGCTGTTTCTGTTCACAGGTAGTGCTCCATTTAGCTAACTATCACTTCTAATTTTACCACTGTTGCTTGACTAATCTCTGGTCATAGCTTAAGAAACCCAGAAGATGACACCTGTGGATCTAAGCTTTGGCAGATTTTGGTCACTTCTTACCACAACTGTTTTGAAGGCCTTACTCCTATAAGTAACATTAAGGCCTTTACAAGTAAACCGCAGGCACAGAACTCCATGGGATGCAAGATAGGCTGCCAAAGACACTAAGTGAGGGAAATTCATATCTCCTCCAGCTCCATGGGTAAGAATCACTCCATGTGTTGATTTCTTCTCTGGGACAGAGAAGATAGCATCAAGGTATTTGTTTCCAAAAGGTATTTTCACTTTAACCTAGAAATGAAACAAACAAACAAACAAACAAATGTTTCCAGTCTACACATTATGATGATGAAAAATCAGACAATTAGGAAAAAAATCAAAATTGCAAGTTCATTTTTATTTCTTCTGTTTAAGAGTACTAGATTAGTAACTCTCTGTCTCAAAGATTTTCCATGCAATAACAGACAAGTCACTTCATCACTCCACACCTTATTCTCCGCATTAGAAAATTAAGCATCCTTAGCTTCCAAGGATGCTTCAAGGTACAAACTGAAATGCCTCTTACCTTCTCTACATGTCTAGATCTAGCTATCTGAGAGCTAACTGCCGCACTTGACTTGAATACTCAAGTCGTCCCCAATAATCTTCTATAAGACAAAAATAAGGAGGAAACATGAACTCTTCCATAATTACAGCTTCCTATAGTGGAAAAAGTGTATTTATCTCCCCTCTCTCACAGATGTTATTAAATAAAAGAATTAAAAAAGGCCCTTAACATTTATCACAACCAAATTACTTTGGGTCCGTAGAGCCATATGGAGTATACAGGACTGAGAGAACTTCATGCTGGCAGCAATAATTGCTGTAGCTGCAGGACCCATGTACAAGCTTCATCGCAGAGGGAAAAGACCAAAAAACAGTATTATGAAAAGTGGATTTTAATATGCTGGCTTTATGCATTATATGCGACTAAAAGAAACACAGGAAGCACTTTTTTTTCATTAAGTGTTCAACAATAACTGACGGCAGATGTCACAAGATACGTATTTCATGTATGTGTAACAACCGATATTCTAAGATAAGCAAGACACTCTCTAACCAGCAGCCAAACCCACAGACAGACAGGAGGTGGCAGCCCAGGGAACATTTCCACATGTTCCCGCGGGACGGCAGCCTCCCCCCTCCCCGGGGCCTCACGAACCCCGCGCCGGGCTTTGCGGGCCGAGCAGAGCCACCCTCAACCCCCGGCCTCCACACGGGCGGCCCAGGGTCAGGGACCGGGACCGGGACGGCCGATTCCAGCCCTCCCCGGGCCGGGCCGGGCCCGGCGCCGCGAGGGGAACAACGGCGGCGGCGGCCATACCTCCGCCGTCCCGCTCATGCCGCTTGCCGAGCCGTGACGTCACGTGAATGACAGCTCATCCCTCCACTGCAGCTTGAGAAGGGGGGGGGGGGGGGCGGGCGGGCCGGGCCGGCTTGATTGGCGCGCAGATGTGCAACGCCCCGCCCCGAAGGGCGGGGCTAAGCAGCCGGCCTGCGCGGGGGCTTTGCCGGGGGGGTAATGGCGGAGGGAAAGGAGGGGCGGGGGGCAGGCGGTTCGGGGGTCGCAGTCGGCCGGGCCGGGGACACCAGTACGCAGGTATTGGTGAACTTGGCCGCCCTCATTCGTCCTTACAAGGTCTCGTCTCTACTTGAAGTTAGAGTATCCTCTTCTTAAACTGCGCATGTTCAGTGAGGAAGGGGATTTCCTTCGTGGGGGGCTTCTTTCTACTCGACCAAGAGTTTTTACTATGGTAATGAGGAAAGCTCACTCACAGTTCAAGTACTTCTCTCCTTAGTTTTATCAGCAGCTTTTGTTCCTGTGCGCTTATCTTGGTGTTTCCTTGTTTTAATCCCACTGTAGCTTCTTCAGGGTCTCTGTCAGCTTTACCAGTTCCTTTACCAGTTCCTGGCATTTTTTCACAACCCTCCTTTGGTCATTTTATCAATTTAAATGTAACAGTACCTGCGGGGTGTTGACAGCACCTGTATTACCAGCTGTTTTCCCCCCTGACATGGTCAAGTGCCCATCATGTGGGTGGAAGGCAGTAGTAACTATTTTAAAAAGCTGTTGCTGTATCATGAGGCAAAATGTAATAATAATAACTAGAGAGAAATTTAAAAATAATGGTTATTTGGTTGCTGAATTAATTATGTCTGAGTTGCACTGTTTGGAGAATTAACTCCCCATAAATAGTTTTTATTCACCTATACATGGAGAAAGAGCGCTAGTGATCATTCAGAAGAAATAAAGCCAATTACTTAGGAATTGCTTGGAAAGTCAGGTTCTCAGTGACTTCAAGGAGTACAGATGCTACAAAATATTAGGGGTTTGAAAATTGCGTTTAATGATTTAGCCAGGTGTGTAGGTAGAACAAGTACAATGAGTAGGGCTAGGCCATAGCAACAGGGTGAGTTGTTCCCATAGGAAAGGATATGCAAGAGAAGTTGAGAAGAAAGGGAACATGATGTGCTGTGACGTTATGTTCAGAGTCATAACAGGGCCATAAAACACTCAAAAGAATAATGGGAGAGACGGTTCTAAGAGGAGAAAACAGAAAGAGTCATTTATCATACAATTAAGTTGCTCATTGGCCCAAAACCCTGAACCATGGGGACTGAGGAGCCCAGGTAGTCAGTAGTTAGGTTCAGATAAATGGCCAAATGATTTTGTAACTTTTATGGATATGTGTGGTTCAGAGAATAAGGAACCAATAACATAGTAATGATGTAATGGGTAAAAATAATAATAACCAATGCAGGTGAAGGGCAGCTATAATGAGCAATTAGAAGCGGACATTGTATGCATGCTTATTATAATAAAGGAGAACAAAGAATGTTGGGGTATAAGTATTTGTGGGTTACAGCGTTTCGGTGGACACCTTTGGAAATGATCCCATGTCCCTGGTGTGTGTCTCTGCTTATCTAACTTCATGTAGATAAGTTTTTCTTACCCTGCAGATTTGCGACACAGATATGATCCTCACTGTGAGTTAGCTGTTTGGAGCGACATCGGACGATTTTTCTGGCAGCTGTCGTCACACTGGATCTATGTGACATTCACAAATCCAGGAAAGAGACTACGTGGCTAGCATTTTTAGGTACCAACATACAGCTGTCCCCTCAGCTGTGCTTCATTGTTGTGGTGGTGCAACTCTTCCCCTCACCATCCTCCTCCTTGCTGGGCCGCTGGTGCTTGGTGTGATTCCAACCCCCTCCTGGGCCACAGACCACCCTGAGGAGATAAGCACTGCTAATGGCAGTGAGCCAGGGCCGTAAGGCAACCCTTTAACGAGCCTGGCTCCTGCGCTCCCTGTCCATCAGAAACAGCCCATCACCTCCTCACAGCCTGGTACACCTGTACCTGGGATGTGGTCAAAGGAGAACAGTAACAGAACTGCACATCCACTGAGTCCTTGTGCAGCTGGTGGAAGGTGCCAGAGTACTGTAGAGTTGGAGCTAGGCTAGAGTGAAAATTACCTGACAAAAGTCAGTTGTCTTCGACCCTGTAAATAGCGGCCCCAGGTGAGACCCTCTGAGCTCTCCTGGATCGCATCGGGCTGGTGCCCACCATCTCCCCTGAACTGGGATGTCTTTCAGGTACAAAAAACCTTAAGGGGTCATCTGCTGTTAGAGCTGATGGGAGGCCAGCTCGAGTCTCAGTTATCACCAGCTGAGGAATGCCGATGCATTGTATTTACCCTAAACTTGAGCTAGTTTACCGTAACTTTGAGCTAGTTTCTCTTTCACCCGCTTTCTCTCTCTGCTTACTGATACGTTTTTGGGTATACACAGTTATTTTCACGAGTGTGGGTACCTACTTATTGCACTGGATCCATATACTTCTGACTGTGTGTTTGTACTTGTGTTTGTGAATGTGGATATATATAGATGTATTGATTTAAGGTACCGTATAGTAAGTTAGTGTGAATCTTGTCATCTTTGAATCTGTAGTTAAGTCGCTATTTTAATTATAACATATTCTACAGTTGTTTTGTAAATCTTTAAATTGGTTAATGATTAAGTGCTGTTAGTCATTAGTATATCTTGATTTGCTGCTAAATCATTACTGTGTTAGTACCTGCATCCATGATAAATTGGCATAGTCGGCAGGATGACAAGCAGAATCACCGAATACTTACAAAACCACAGTATCCAACCAAATTCCACCCTCTCAGAGGATTGGGCTTACAATAGTTGGCATAATTGGGAAGAGGTGGAAAAACAGTTAACTGATGCTAGAGGTACAACTAAAGTTGGAAAAGATAAAGGTATAATTTGTAAAATGTTGAGAGTGTGCCTAGAAGCTGCCCGCCAGGAACGAGGAAAATTTAGTCGTACAAGACAAGATTTGCAAAATGAGATTGCAGGGCTCAAATCCACTGAGCTGCTGTTACCAATTAAAATAGAACAGCTGCAAAAAAAAAAAAAAAAAAAAAAAGTTAAAGGATACCAATCAGAACAAGAAAAACTGTGGGGATGCATTGAAATGGTGCTAATGCAGTCTCCAAACCCCCCTGATACAGTTCAAATCAGAAAATTAATTGCATCCCCTGAAGACTGGGATGGTAATATTTGGAGTGATTCAAATAATAACTCAGGCAAAAATAGTTCTTTCCAACCGCCTGAGTCCACCCCACTCACAATAAGACCGATTAACAAAACAGAAGAAACAACAAGACCTCCTCGGGGTGGTGTGAGAAATCGGGTCAGTGAAACAACCCCGTCTGATCCAACTCAAATGGCCAATTTACAAGATCATTATGGCCGTAAACCTGGAGAAACTGAAACTGAATACCTTTGGAGAGTATCTCTAAACAAGAGAGATGATAGAATTTTACTAGATGGAAATGAAGCCAGTGGCTATTGGGGTCCTGGTGTCTTTTTGAATGCTGGTCCCAATCCCCTGAATGACCCCCACTCACTGACAAGCAGAGTGGCATTTTGGGCTGGTGTCATCAATGCCTTACTGAGAGCAGAACCTCTGTTGATACCTACTGAAGAGGGAAGACATATGGAAAATTAAAAATTGTCAGTAGTGACAAGGTCTGTTTAAAGGACTGCTTAATGTAGTAATGTCTTGTTTGTAGTCCTGCTTAAGAGTGTGCCTAGTGAAGAAATATTTGTGAATGTCACGCTTGAGCCCACAGAATGAAGGTACACTTTATCTATGACTAACAGGCTTGAGCCTGTCTGCTTACATGATTTAGGTACACTCCTGTCTATGAAAAACAAGGTAATGGAAGAAGGACACTGAAGCTTGCAGAACTACCAGGTGCAACTGGTTTTGTGGTCTCAGCTGTACGGGAAAAGGGAAGACAGAACCAAGTTCACAGAAAGGACACTGTGCTGAAGATGAGAACGATGAAGTAAACGACCACTGGAGGTCCTAGAAGACCACCTAGAGACCGTAGTGCGCATGCGGAAGTAGGCGGCAGCATATTATAATGTTTTCTCAGAGAAGTAATGAATATGATAATTAGTTGTTGGAAATTACATGAATATGTAAGTGAACTGTGTATAAATATCATAAACTCCACTCCGGTGGTACACGTATTATGAGGAATGATCCCCCTATGCGTCCAACACATTGAATAAAGAATACCTGCTTAATAGCTATTACGGCTACTAAGACTGAATTCTTGGCTTCACTGTCAAATCTCTAAATGAGCGCTCCACAGCCTTTACAAAGGCTGCCTGTATTCAAGCAATGCATCAACGTGATCCTACTGATGTTCCTGTTTTGGCACCTGTAGCTCCTGCTATACTTAAACTTTTGATAAAAGGAGCCCCTGCCGCACTCAAACCTTTCCTCATTGCAAAGCAAGATGAGATCCAGAGAGTCTTAAGTTATAACAAATTGGTAAACATAGCACAGACTGTTGGAAATGGTGAGGAAGGGGAATTAGAACAGAGGGAATTACACACTTGGGCGATGCTATTGCATGAAGCTGTATATCATGCCCGAGAAATGGGATGGAATGAAATTCCCAGTGAAACGGAAAACACAGGTTGCGCTGTTAAGCAAATTTAACAATTGTATCATAAGTCCCAGGAACAAAAGTCCTCTGGCTGACAATTTAGGGATCAGGAGTGGAGAAACAAACTATGGAAACAAGCATTGTCACTAGGAATTCCTGGAGCCTAGGTTCGGAGACAGCCTACTGGCGTTATTCTGAGTCTAATTCAGGCATTTCAAAAATGTAACACTTTGAATGCTCCAACTACTCCATCACCAGCTCCCAGAGAGGGAGATAACCCTTTCCTCCCACAGGGATATAAACACTCACCCACAATTGCTTATGTGGTGCTTGCTGAACTTTTGCAGACAGTTTTACTCCCTAAAATGATAAAACT